AAATGCTTTTTCTGCATCTACTGATAAGAAAATATGATTCTTATCCTTTCTTTTGTTAATGGGGTGTATAAAATTGATTTGTTTAACGTATGTTGATCAATCCTTGTGCCCCTGAAATGAACCCCACTTGATCCTGATGTATTATTTTTTTATGTATGGCTGTATTCGATTTGCTGGTATTTTGTTTAGGATTTTTGCATCTGTATTTATCAGAGACATTGGTCTGTAGTTTTTTGTGTGTGTGTGTGTTATGTTTGCCAGGTTTTGTTATCAGGGTTATATTGGCCTCATAAAATGTGTTAGAAAGCATTGCTTCTTTAATTTTTTGGAAGAGTCTGAGAAGGATAGTTTTAAATCTTCTTTAAACGTTTGGTAGAATTTACTGGTGAAGCCATCTGGTCCTGGACTTTTATCTTTGGGAGGGTTTTTGATGGTTGTTTCAATTTCCTCCTGCTGATCGGTCTATTTAGCTTTTCCAATTCTTCATGATTTAGTCTAGGAAGGTTATATATTTCTAGGAAGTTATCCATTTCTTTTAGGTTATTGAATTTGGTGGCATATAGCCTTTCATAATATTCTAGTATAATCCTTTGTATATCTGTGATGTCTGTGGTGATTTCTCCTCTCTCATTTCTGATTTTGTTTATGTGGGTCTTTCCCCCCCTTTTTTTAGTGAGTCTAGCCAGGTGCTTGTCAATTTTATTCTTTTCAAAGAACCAGCTCTTTGTTTCATTAATTTTTTTGTATAGTCTCTTTGTTCTCTGTTTCATTCAATTCTCTAATTTTTATGATTTCCTTTCTTCTGGTGACTTTGGGTTGCTTTTGTTCTTTTTCTGGTTCTTTAAGATGTGATGTTAGGTTATTTACTTAGGATTTCTCTTGTTTCTTGAGATAAGCCTGTAATGATATAATTTTCCCTCTTATTACTGCTTTTGCTGCATCGCAGAAGTTTTGATATGCTGTATTGTCATTCTCATTTGCCTCTATATATCTTTTGATCTCATGTTTTATTTCTTCTTTAACTCAGTCATTTTTTAGTAGTATGTTGTTTAATCTCCATGTATTTTTGGGTTTCTTTACTTCCTTTCGCAGTTGATTACTAATTTCAAGGCATTATTGTCAGAGAATATGCTTGGTATAATTTCAGTCTTTTTGAATTTGTTGATGCTAGTTCTGTGGCCCAACATATGGTCTATCCTTGAGAATGTTCCATGAGCACTAGAGAAGAAAGTATATAATCTAACATTCTGGGATGAAAGACTTTGCAAATGTCGGTTATGTCCATTTAGTGTTTCATTTAAGGCTGATATTTCTTTATTGATTTTCTATTTGGTTGATCTGTCTAGAGCTGTCAATGGAGTATTAAGGTCCCCAACTATGACTGTGTTTTAATCTCTTTCTCCCTTTACTTCTGTGAGTAGTTGCTTTATATATTTCAGTGCTCCCTGCTTGGGTGCATATATAGTAAGAAGTGTTATGTTTTCTTGATGTAATGTCCCCTTTATCGTTACAAATTATCCTTCTTTGTCTCTTGTTATCTTTGTTGTCTTTAAGTCTATTTTGTCAGATATAAGTATGACTACACCTGCTTTTTGGTGGATATTTGCTTGGAGAATCTTTTTCCACCCTTTTACTTTGAATCTACCTTTGTCTTTGCAGCTTAGATGTGTTTCTTGTAGGCAGCATATGGTTGGGTTTTGTTTTTTTAATCCATTCTGCCACTCTGTGCCTTCTTATTGGTGAATTCAGACCATTTACATTTAGGGTAATTATTGATGTTTGAGGATTTCTTATAGCCATTTTTTAACTTTAAAAAAAAAATCTTTATTGATTTCAGAGAGAGGAAGGGAGAGGGAGAGAGAAAGATAGAAACATCAATGATGAGAGTCATTGATTGACTGCCTCCTGCATGCCCCCTTCTGCGGATCGAACCCACAACATGGGCATGTACCCTGGCTGAGAATTGAGCCACGATCTCCTGGATTATAGGTTGATGCTCAGCTGCTGAGCCACTCTGGCCGGGCATCCTATAGCCATTTTATCTTTTGTTTTCTGGTAGCTCTGTGCCTCCATTGGTTCTTTTCCTTTGTACTTCTTTCTGTTGTTCTTACTTGGTGGTGTTTCATACTTCTTTCCTGTGTGTCCTCTTTTTAAGCTATGTGTCCTGATTTGGAGATTTTTGTGTGTGGTTACTATTAGGTTTATAAAAAATAAGGTTGCATATTTTCTTTTGAGTGCATCTGATGTTCATCCTATTTTGCCAATTCAGACCTTTACACCTCTCCCCACCCCTTTTATATTTTTGTTGTCACAAATTATCCCTGTTTATGCTGTAAGATTTTTGGTGATCTTACTTATAGTGTTTGACCTTATGTTCTTTGATTCAGGTGGAATAACTCCCTGAGTATTTTCTGCAATGGAGATTTTCTGGTGATAAAATCTCTGAACTTTTGTATGTCTGGGAACATCTTTATTTTTTTTTCATATTTAAGGGATAATTTTGCTGGATATATTTATTGTTTATGGCTGGTAATTTCTCTCTTTCAGACGTTTGAATATTTGGTTCCATTCTCTTCTGGCTTGTAGAGTTTCTGCTGAGAAGTCAGATGAAATTCTGATGGGTTTTCCGTGTAGGTTGCTTCTTTCTTTTTCCTGCTGCTTTGAGAATTTTTTTTTTTTTTTTTTGGTCATTAATTTTTGACAGTTTTAATACAATGTGCCTTGGAGAGGGCCTCTTTGGATTGACGTAACAAGGTGTTATTTGCTTCTTGGATTCAAGGATCTAGTTCTTTCCATGGGTTTGGGAAGTCCTCATCCACTATTTGTTTGAATAGACTCTCTGTTCCCTTCTCCCTCTCTTCGTCTTCCACGATGCCTATTATTCTAGTATTACTTTTTCTGATGGAGTCAGATAATTCTCATAGAGCTCTTTCATTTTTCTTTATGTTCAGGTCTCCCTCTTCTTTCTTCTGTGTCATTTTTAGATTCCTATCTTTAATATCACTATCTTCTTTCCTCCACCTGGCTGACTCTGTTTTTTATGCTCAGTAGCTCATTCCTAATCTCCTTAATTGCATGCTTCATTTCCAGGATTTCTGATTGTTGTTTTTTTAAAAAAAGTTTCAATCTTTTTACTAAAATACTTGTTTTGTTCATTGATTTGTTTTCTGAGTGCACTGAATTGCCTGTCTGCATTTTCTTGCATCTAGCTGAGTATTTTCAGAACTGCAATCTTGAAGTCTCTGTCATTTATATGAAAATTTTCCATGTGTTCCAATTTGCTTTTTGAGGATTTTTCATTTTCTTCCTGATCATCTTGTTGGTTATACATGGTATTTGTTACCTCTATAGCAGCATTCTCTGGAAAGGTCTTTCTACTATTTTCCAGTAGATGGCGATGAATCGCAAGATTTTTTTCTTTTTTAACCTCTGCGATCTCCCATATTTGACCTCCACAAGCTTCTGTAAGACAGTACAGCCATGCTGCTTGGGGTGGGATTTGTTTTGCCCTCACCATAATGGCGACCGTGACCTCCATAGGGTATAGGCCCAAACGTCAAACCTGTGGATCAGTCACAGAGGGAAACAGTGGTTCCATTGCAATACCTCTTGGTTTTCAGATAAAATATTACTCGGTCCAACACTTAGGGCAACGGGAAGCAAGTTTTGGGAGTCCAAGGGGTGGCAGGTCTCTGTTTTTCCATTTCCTTGTCAGAAACACCCCAGCCTGACAGTGGACAGCTGCTCAGCAGAACCCTGCTCTCTGTCAGGTGTCTGCTGGTTTAGTCACTGTTCTCTCTGTTCATCCTGCTGGACAGGCCCTGACAGCTCTGTTCCTCCTGGCCAAAGGAAGTACATACTACCACTGGCTTCCTCCCATCTCCCAGCTGCTCCATGAGATCCTGGATGCAGGGCTGCATCTGAGGGCCATCTGAGCTTTCCTCCCTTCTCATCTCCCCATTTATTCCCAGTTGCCATCCTTTAGATGTTTCAATGCATGTGTCTCTCAGGTGTGCCTCTGTATTGAGAAGGGGATTCTTTGATGAATTATAGTTAGTTAACTTGTTGAAATTTCAGGGGGAGAGGCCAAGGGGATCTCTCATGCTGCCATTCCTCTGATGTTACTACTATATATTCTTAAGGGAAAAGAATAGATGATATTGAGTATTATATCTAGTATGTACATAGGATAGAAAAATACTAGAAAGAAAGAAAATAAAATACTAGCATGGTTAGTATTTTGCCTAGCCATGGTTTGCAAAATGGTTGCCTCTGGGTAGTGGGATTGTAATTCATTTTCTTCCTTCTTTTTGTAGTCTTCCTAATCCTTATATTGAACATGTATTTCTTTTACAATTAGGATTAGTAACAAGAAAAAAATTTAATCTGTGTTGTGATGTTAAAGTTATACTTTTTTAAAAAGTCATACTTCTTATTAGCTAGTTTACATCTAAGTTAATGTGTTAACATACCCAGAAACTATTTGTATATTATCTTTAGTTTTGCAATGGGGGTTTTGCCTTCATAGTACAGAAATTCCAATTACAGTATTAATGAAGAGCTGAGAAAGAAGATCTTTATTAGTTTTCTAGATGCCACATAGCAAGCTCAGCTTCATCTCCTTAGTCCTCACTTCCTTCTTGAAGACTCTATCTAATTTTCTTTTTTGTTTTGTTTTGTTAATCCTCACCTCGGGATATTTTTTTCCTTTTTTTTTTTTTTTTGAGAGAATGGAAGGGAGGGGGAGAGACACACAGAGAGAAACATTACGTGAGAGAGACACATTGATTGGTTGCTTCCCACATGCACCCCAACTGGGGCCAGGGATGGAGCCTGCAACTGAGGTACATTCCCTTGAATGGAATCAAGCCTGTGATCCTTCAGTCCAAAGGCCAACACTCTAACCATTGAGCAAAACAGGCTAGGGCTCTACCTGGTTTTCTTGATAGAGGTTCCACAGTGGACTAACCAAGCCTTTTCTTTCTCCTTCTCCTTGGCAGATTACCTCCAATATTCCAGGGCCTTCTTCCTAATCTCTGTGCTTACCATACTCATTGGTCTTGGTTGGCTCTTAAGCTCTTGCCTCCCTAGAAGAGGGAGCATTACCACCAACTTGGATCTGAAGGTATCCATGCTCAGCTTCATCTCAGGTACAAACATAGACTGGCAGGGTGATGCCAGGGTAAAATTGTGAAGGGCACAAAGTTTCTCTGTGGGCTTTCCTCCTCTTTTTCTTGTCTCTTTTTCACTATTAGATCAATTTTCCAGCTACCTGCCCTGTCTTATTGTATAAAACACACTTTAGGTGACTTATGCCAGGGTAGAAGGTGACTTATGAGAGGTAGAAGACCTTTTTTCTCTTATATCCTGGTCAATCCCTAAATTTTGATCCTGCCATACAAATGGCATCTGGAAGCAGAAGAAAAGTTGGGGATGGCAGTCAAGGCAGACTGAAGACACTGATGGGTTGTGACATCTTTTCTTCTGGTCCTAGCCATCTGCTTGCTCTTCTGCCTCATCCTATTTCTGGCACAGGTTCACTGGCACACCAGGGATGCCATGGAGTCAGATCTTCTATGGACTTATTATCTTAATTGGTGGAGTGACTTTTTATACATGTTTGCTGGTGAGTCAGTCTCCTGCCTTATCTTAAAAAGATGGAAGGGGGAAACAATTCTTGATATAGGGGTGGAATCTAGGAGAAATAGAAGCACTGATTGTTCTTATTTAGAAAATTATACATCAAGAGGCAGTATGGAATGAAATTGAAAACAGAATTAGTTATCTGTCTTGCCACTAACTGAGCCATACACAGGTTGAGTGACTTGTCTAAGACCACACAAAAAGCAGAGGAACTATCATTTGAGTTCAGGAGATCCAACCATGTGAGAAATAATATAATGGAATGGGAGTATAGGAGAGCAAAGTAATTCTGCTAGGGTAGAGGAGGGTTGGCTTCACTGAAAAGAGGCCCTTTGAACTGAGTATTTAAAGGATGAATAAGAATTTTAAAAGTCAAAAGACAATGTGTCTGTTGTAACTCATCTCAAATTCTTCTCCTCCAATAGGGATCATCTCCTTCCTCAATTACATAACATTCAGATCTCCTCCCCCTGATCAAAATGTTACTGTGATTCCCAAGGAGATATCAAGGCTGGGGATTGGTCCAGTGACTACAGTATCACCTGCTGAAGATGAAGTGTCAAGGTCTGAGATGGAATCTCCAAGTGATGGAGAGGAAAAACTACCAAATGCAGAACTATCAAATGCAGAAATGTGATGGTGATAGGAAAACTCAACTACTGCTTGTCTTAAAAATGGGGGAGAAGCCACTGAGTTGGAAATGAATGTGCAGACTCTAAAAAAAAAACACCCTCTCTTAATATCATGTCCATATTACTGATGGAGACAGCATTAAAGCTGATGAAGTGTCCTTTGTGTGTGTTGAACCCAAAATATGTATGATAATCATAAAGAAAGTAATGAAATCTCACTTAAGAAAAAAATTCTGTAAGAAAACATTAGTGTTTAGGATCATGAATGAAAGAAACTAGAAATAGATGCAGTATATGGATCAGAGATCTCTTTGGGCATCATGGGTCTCATGGACGAAAGTGGTCAATGGAGAAAAATGTCACCTAATTCTGTTTGAAAATTTTCTTATTATGCGTGGCTGTGAGCATGGATGGAGGTACTTGGACAATATTGTTGAATCTGAATTGGAGATCATTACCAAAAATGAAATGAACAGCAATGGAGATAATACCTCTCACCCAGAGGTGTTGAGAGGTGCCAGGGGATTCTGGGGAATTCATGAGGTCTCATATTCTATGTAAATTGGTAATTTGAAACCCTTACAACATGCTATATGAACCCATTGCTTCTCCCATGGCTGGAAGATACCTTAACCAGACATCTACAAACTTTCTGAAAGCCTTGTGAAAAGAGCTTGGAAGTGTTCCTTCATCTTGGAATTTTTCAAATAGTTTGAGGAAGATATGTGTTAATTGTTCTTTGAATATTTCATAAAACTTCCCTGTGAAGCTATCCGGACCAGGACTTTTGTTTCCTGGGAGTTTTGTTTGTTTGTTTGTTTGTTTGTTTTATTACAGCTTCAATTTCATCAGTTGTTATTGGCCTATTCAGGTTTTCTGATTCTTCCTGATTCAGTTTTGGATGGTTATATTTTTCTAAATTTTGTTCATTTCATCCAAGTTTTCCAGCTTGTTGGCATATAGTTTTTCATAGTATTTGCTTACAATCCTTTGTATTTCTGTGGTGACAGTTGTTACTTCACCTCTTTTGTTTCTGTTTTTATTTATTTGGGTCCTCTCTCTTGTTTCTTGATGAGGCTGGCTAAAGGTTCATCAATCTTGTTTATCTTTTCAAAGAATCAGCTCTTGGTTTCATTGATCTTTTGTATTGTTTTTTTAGTCTTTATGTCATTTATTGCTGCTCTGATCTTTAATATTTCCTTCCTTCTACTTACTCTGGGCCTTTCTTGTTGTTCTCTTTCTAATTCTTTAAGTTGTAGGGTTAGATAATTTATTAGCAATTTTTATTGTTTCTTGAGTAGGACTGTAGTGCTATGAACTTCTCTCTTAGAACTGTTTTCATTGTGTTCCATATGTTTTGGATTGCTGTGTGTTCATTTTCATTGTTTTCAGAAAGTTTTTAATTTCTTCCTTGATTTCCTTGGTAATGCATTCATTGTTTAATAACATGCTATTTAGCCTCCATGCATTTAAATGTTTGGAGTGTTTTTATTGTAGTTGATCTCCAATTTCATGCCATTGTGATCCGAGTAGATGTTTGATATGATTTCAATCTTCATGAATTTGTTGAGACTTAGTCTGTGTCCTAACATGTGGTCTATCTTTGAGAATGTCTCATGCGCACGTGAAAAGAATACTTGTTCTGCAGCTTTGGGGTGAAATGTTCTGTAAATGTCAATTAAACCTATTTGATCTTGTGTGTCATTTAAGGTTGCTGTTTCCTTGATTATTTTTCTAGAATGTCTTTCTAATGATGTCAGTGGGTGTTAAATTCTCCTACTATAATTGTATTGCTGCTGATCTCTCCCTTTAAGTCCTTCAGAATTTTAAAAAATATATTTGGGTGCTCCTATATTGGGTGCATATATGTTTACCAGGATTATATCCTCTAGTTGTATCAATCCCTTTAGTATTATGAAGTGGCCTTTATGTCTCTTGTTATGGCCTTCATTTAGAAATTTATTTTGTCAGATATTAGTACTGCTCTCCCAACTTTTTTTTCATTTCCATTTTCATGGGAAATTTCCCCCCCTCCCTTCACTTTCATCCTGTGTGAGTCTTTTATTCTGAGGTGGGTCTCTTGTACACAGCATATATATGGGTCATGTTTTCTTATCCATTCAGATACCCTATGTCTTTTATTGGGGCATTTAAGCTATTTATCTTTAAGCTTATTATTGATAGGCACTTATTAGTTGCCATTTTTATTCTTTATGCCTATGTTCCTCCCTCTCTCTCTATTCCTTCTTCTTACAACAGTCCCTTTAGCTTTTCTTTCAGTTCTGGTTTGGTGGTAATAAACTCCTGTAGCCTTTTTCTTTCTTTTTTTTTTTCTGCAAAACTCCTAATTTCACCTTCAATTTTGAATGATAGCCTTGCTAGATAGTCTTGGATTCAGTCCCTTGCTTTTCATTACTTTGTGTACTTCATCCCACTCCCATCTCGCCTGAAGTGTTTCTATTAAGAAATCAGCTAACCGTCTAATGGGAGCTCCCTTGTAAGTAACTCTCTGTCTGTCTCTTTTGTGGCCTTTAAAATTCTTTTTTTGTCTTTAGCGTTTGCCTTGATGTGGGTCTTTTTGGGTTTGTGTTGATTGGGACTCTTTAGGTTTCCTGAACTTGTGTGACTTTTTCTTCACCAGATCAGGGAAGTTTTCTCTCATTATTTCTTCAAACAAGGTCTCTACTCCTTGATGAGCTTCTTCTCCTTCTGACATCCCTATGATGCAGATGTTGTTACATTTCAGGTTGTCCCAAAGGTCCCTTAAACTCTTCTCCTACTTTTTATTTTTTTTCAATTGCTGCTCTGAATGGGTGTTTTTTTTCCTACCTTGTCTTCTAATTCACTGATTCAGTCCTCAGCTTCTTGTAGCCTACTGTTGAATCCTTCCATGGTATTCTTTTTTTTTTTTCTTAATCCTCACCCAAGGATATTTTTTCCATTGCTTTTCAGAGAGAATGGAAGGGAGAAAGAGAGAGAGAAAGAAACATCAATGTGAAAGAGACACATCGATAGGTTGCTTCCTGCATAAGCCCCGACCAGGGCCAGGGACTGAGCTGCAACTGAGGTACATGCCCTTGGTGGGCATTGAACCCAGGTCCCTTTAGTTTGCAGACTGATGCTCTAACCACTGAGCTAAGCCATCTAGGGCCTTCCAGAGAATTCTTTATTTCAGCTATGTCATTCTTTATTTCCAATTGATTCTTATTCATTGTTTCAGCCCCTCTTTTTATGCTGGTGTAGTTCTCAAGTTCCTATAGTTCTCCTTAAGTTGCTTGTAGTTCTCACTAAGTTGTTTGAGCACCCTTGCAATCATTACTTTGAAATCTTTATCTGACAAATTGCTTGCCTCTATTCATTTTGTTCCTTTTCTGGCGATTCCTCCTTTTCGTTCATTTGGGGGTTGTTTCTTTGTCTCCCCATTTTAGCAAACCAGTAATCTGCGGAGCCAGGTGAGGAAAATGGGGTCACAGGGGCAGGTCCATGTGTCTGGGGGCATCAGGTCACAGCTACTGGGCGGCCATCAGGTTGCAGGGCTGTTTGTTCAGGGGTGCCAGGTAAGGAATGCTAGGTCTGAGTGGCAGGTCTCTGTGTCCAAGCGGGCCACAGGTCAAGGTGGTGGGGCAGGCCAGGCATTCTGCTCCTGTAGGGGGTGGGTTTGGTTGGATGCTCTTGTTGATTCTTTTAAAAAAAATTTCCATCACCATTTGTCCCTTCCGTGCCCTCTTCCACCTCACCAACCCCTTTCCATGTCCATGAGTTCTCTCTCTTTTTTGCTTTTTGTTCAATTCCTTGATAGCCCCTCCAAATCCCCCCCCAATGCCCGCACACCAGAGTGGTCTGCCTACTCTCTATTGATGAGTCTGTATCTATTTTGCTTGGTAGTTCAGTTTTCATTAAATTACACACGTGAGTTAAATCACATGGTACTTGCCTTTCTCTGACTGCCTTATTTCATTTAGCGTAATGTTCTCCAGGTCTATCCATGCTGTAACAAAGGGTAAAATTTTCTTCCTTTTTTCAGCTGAGTGGTATTCCATTGTGTGAATGTACCACAGCTTTTTAATCCACTCATCTACTGATGGACACTTGGGCTGCTTCTAAATCTTGGCTATTGTAAATAACTTTAAACATAAGGATATATATATATCCCTATGAGAATATATATATTCTCATATATATACATATATATATATATCCCTATAAGAATATATATATATATGTATGTATGTATATATATATATATTCTTTCAAATCAGTGTTTCAGGTTTCCTCAGATAAATTCCCAGAAGTGGAATTTCTGGGTCATAAGGCAGTTCCAGTTTTAATTTTTTGAGGTAACTTCATACTGCTTTCCATAGTGGCTGCACCAATCTGCATTTCCACCAACAGTACACAAGTGTTCTCTTTTCTCCACATCCTCATCAACACTTGTTGCTTGTTGATTTACTGATGATAGCCATTCTGACAAGTGAGATGTGATATCTCTTTGTTTTAATTTACATCTCTCTGATGATTAGTGATGTTGAGCATTTTTTCATGTCTATTGGCCATCTGTATGTCCTCTTTGGAGAAGTGTCTATTTGGGTATTTCCCCATTTTTTAAACTGGATTGTTTGGTTATTTTTGCTGTTGAGTTTTATTAGTTGTGTTTTTTTTAAAATAAATGTTGGATATTAACATATTATCAGATGTATTATTGGCAAATATGTTCTCTCATTCAGAGGGTTGTCTTTTCATTTGTTCATGGTTTCCTTTGTTGTGCAAAAACTCTTTAGTTTGATGTAGTCCCATTTGTTTATTTTTCTTTTGCTTCCCTTGCCTGAGGAGATAGACAAAATATTGCTATGAGAAATGTCTGAGATTTTATTGCCCATGTTTTCTTCTAGGATTTTTATAGTTTTTAGTCTAATACTTAAGGTTTAGTTCATTTTGAGTTTATTCTTGTGTGTGGTGAAAGAAGGTGCTATAGTTTCATTTTTGGCACACATTTTTCCAGTTTTCC